TGCAAAAACGGTTAATATTTTACAATAATTATCTGTTGACATAATACACATTAGATACTAGAGTTAAGTAAAATACACTATTAAAATAAATATCACCTGTTTCTTCTTACTTTTTAAAGTGTGGTTATAAAATCAACGTGGCTCACATTATACTTCTTAGGGCAGCGCTAGTCTAATCATTCCTTGGGGCCCAGTCTAACCTCCTTCAAGATGTCCCTATTTTTGTACCATTCTTGATAATCTTTTGTGACCTTTAAAAACCTATGATGATGTCTGCCACATAACTATCTAATTACATAATATACCATATATTTACTATAATCTCATATCTTAAAATTGAAATTAAAATTATTTCATATCTTAAAATTATGTAATTTCATAATTACATGTTCTCACTGTATTAATGTCCTTTCTACAGCCTAATTTGGGACTCATACTAGGCACTCAACTTTTTTTTTTGGAGGCAAAGTCTCACTTTCTCACCCTTGGTAGAGTGCTGTGACCTCACAGCTCACAGCAACCTCGAACTCTTAGGCTCAAGCAATTCTCTTGCCTCAACCTCCCAGTAGCTGGGACAATAGGCGCCCACCTGTATTGATGAAGCCATACAGTAATACACAGGGGGGTTTGTTTTGTTTACACACTTACTTCTCAATGATGATTTCAACAGTGCAGGTAGAACTAGGAGTCAGGGGACCCAACAGCTCTACTCTTCCTCCAGTAACATAATCCATTCAGCCATTTAGTACAGGCTTGACTCCATGGAGTAAGCCTGCCTGTGCCTCAGTTCCCCCCTATAAAATAACCCTATCAGGCTAATTTACAATTTACAGCCAAGCCAAACCATCTGAACACATTCAAAGTGGAATTATCATACAACTAAGAAATACTCTATTTACTCTACTTCCCATAACTCATTTTATGTTTCTCAGCCGTTGTCTTAAATACAGACTACTCTTTATAAAAAGAGAACAAATCTATTACCATGTATGAGAAAGAAGGGAGAAAATTACCTATCAAAATATTGCTTACCGGCTTGGCACCTGTAGCACAGTGGTTACGAACCCAGCCCAGGTCAGCTAGACAACAATGGCAACTGACACAAAAAAACAGCCAGGTGTTGTGGTGGGCATCTGTAGTCCCAGCTACTTGGGAGGCTGGGGCAGGAGAATCGCTTGAGTCCAGGAATTTGAGTTTGCTGTGAGCTGTGACACCACAGCACTCTACCAAGGGCAGCACAGTGAGACTCTGTCTCAAAAAAAAAAAAAAAAAAAATTTTTGCCTATCTATCCTTTTAATGGTAGGAGATAAGTTATGTGAGAGAAGCTGTTAAACGTCCACTCCAAACTTCAGTCACTTATACATCACACTCACAATAATCCTTTATAGCTTCAGTCCACAGCCCCCAGGCTGCAGATCAGTACCAGTCCACGGCCTGTTAGGAACTGGGCCTCACAACATCACTGCCTGAGTGAGCTCTGCCACCTGTCCCATTCCTCCTCTTCCCAGTCCCCACGCCCCCATCCTCCCCAAAACTGGTCCCTCAGTACCAAAAACGTTGGGAACCACAGCTTTACCAGAAAAACATGACCATATCCATTTTAAAGAGTAAAGAAAGTGAGGCTCCGGCTCTGCGCCCTAGCTCAGTGGGGAGGGTGCCAGCCACATACACCAAAGCGACAGGTTCCAGCCCAGCCCAGACCTGCTAAACGACAATGACAACTGCAACCAAAAAATAGCCAGGCGTTGTGGCGGGCACCTGTAGTCCTAGCCACTTGGGAGGCTGAGGCAAGAGAATCGCTTGAGCCCAAGAGTTGGAGGTTGCTGTGAGCTGTGATGCCACAGCACTCTACCAAGAGAGGGAGACAAAAGCAAGACTCTGTCTCAAAAAAAAAAAAAGAAAATGAGGTTCCAAGATAAGCTAAATAACTAGCCCAAGTCACCAAGCTGCACGTGGCAGGGACAGACTACAGACCTAGATCAGTCGACCATCTCAGTTTGTTAAAAAAGAAAATTTGAAAATAAAATACATGAAAAGTAGAAGTGTTATACAAACATACACATTAAAAACACACTGTAGTAGTTATAATACTATTCATTTCCTTACAACAGTTTCCCTGATATTGACTTAACTCCTATCTTTCAGTTCAAGAAGGCTTTGTCCTCTAAGCAAACTTTTTTTTAAGTAGCAACCAACTGGGGTATGTGATACGTGTGGTAGGAGCTAGCACATTAAATAACGTAGTATTTTCTTTAAATCTTTAAACCACAATTGGAATCAAAAGTTGAACATGAGTTAAACATCATGACTTACCCTCAGATATGTTTTCAAAAACCTAGTCCCTACAGGTAAAGATCACAGTAATAAACAAAAGAAATAAATAAATGCACAACATTCCACAAATAAACGCAACAACAAAAAATACACACCAAAGGAAATATCAAAGAGCCTCTCCACCTTACAAAACTGAGGTCATACTGGGTTCCATGAAATGATAAAAGTTCCTTAAAGTAAGACACACACCTGGAGTGAAGCCACCATCAGAAGACTTGAAAAGTATCTGCTTTCTCAGAATGGTTACAATGTACTGTGTAACTGTAAGAAACCAACCTGATCCAGGCTTAACTGATTCTTCCTTTGCAAAATGTAGCCAGCTTAATCTTGTAGATTTGGACAGAACAAAAGGTTAATTCCCAAGCACAGAAAAAGTCCCAAAGAATCAAATTCTTTAAAATATTGCTCAACTCTCCTTTATCAAAAATATTCCTGGCTGGGCATGGTGGCTCACCCTTGTAATCCTAGCACTCTGGGAGGCCAGGACCAGTGAATAGCTTGAGCTCATGGGTTCCAGACCAGCCTGAGCAAAAATCAAGACCTCCGTCTGACTACCAAAAACAGAAAAACTGAGGCAAGAGGATTGCTCAACCCCAAAGAGTTGGAAGTCGCTATGACCAATGATGCCAAGGCACTCTACCCAGGGCAACAGCTTGAGATTGTCTAAAAAAAAAAAAAAAAAATCCTGTAGTAGAGGTTAAGCAGTCACTACGAAGAAGCCTGTAAAACGCAAACCGTGTGTATGTGGTATTTTACTATGGGAAGTAAAAAACTGAACTTAACAGGACACCACACTTCACTTTCAAAATTCTAAAAAACTAATCCTTCTAACAGTAATTAATTTACATTTCATTTCAAACTGAACAAGTCAGTGTAACTTCAAAGAATCCACAAAGAACTTATTTGCCAATAACTTCACTTGGCAAAATCAGAATCAGGTGTTGGTTTGGAGTTTTTTAGTTCTTTGGGGTTTTTTTGTTTGGTTGGTTGGTTGGTTTTGCTTTTTGTCTTTTTTCCTTTAGAGGTAGTTTGTAGAATATAAATAGAAATAATTAGCAACTTTGTGTGTGTGTGTGTGTGGTTTTGGACCCGGCTGGGTTTGAACCCATATGGGGCTGAGGGCCCCACTCTTTTGAGCCACAGGCACCACCCCATAATTAGCAACTTCTAATCTCAAGGACAAGATCTTTATTTATTCAAAGTTCTCACATGGCCTGGAGCAGTGGCTTACATTACACCTGTAGTCCGAGCACTCTGGGAGACTGAAGTGTGAGGATCCCTTGAACTCAGGAGTTCAAGACCAGCCTGAGCAAGAGAAAGATCATGACCCTACTAATAAAAGAAAAATTAGCCTGCGTTGTTGACTACATTGTTGCATTACACCTGGTAATGTTAGCACTGTGGGCGGCTGACGTGAGTTTGAGGTTGCTGTGAGCTATGGTGACATCAAGGCACTATAGCCTGGGGGACAAAATGAGACTCTATCTCAAAAAAGAAAAAAAAAAGTTCTCACATGTTAATTACTTTATGCCGTATTTCATCAGGTGACAAGAAACACTAAGACTAGGTAATTTTATGACTGAATGACATCTAGAAGAAACATAGCCTGACCTTTCTTAGGCCCCCAAATAATCAAATATAAGTCTGTCTACATACAGCAAAGGTGTTTCCATTCCAAACAAAAGTAAAACTAAGGAGGTAAAAAATAGAAAATCACACAGCCCAATCAAAAATAGCCACGAAGCAGGTGACAGGAGATTTTTGGACATTTCACACCCAGAGGGGTGAGCTTCATCACAAGTCCACACCAGGGTGGCACCTGTGGCTCAAGGAGTAGGGTGTCGGCCCCATATGCCAGAGGTGGTGGGTTCAAACCCAGCCCTAGCCAAAAAAAAAAAGTCCACTCCAGGCCCACCTGAGCTCCTCAGAACCTCTACTCAGCAAGCCATAAACCAGAGGTGACATATAATCAGCACTGTCATCCTCCTAATAAAGGAAAAGCAGAGAAAGTCACCCCTCTCTCCCAGCAGGAAGAGAATGCCCCTTTCACACCAAGGACACAAAAAAACTGAAGCAGCCAGATCCTAAATAAAAGTTAAATTTAAAAAGGGGCGTGGGAACAGAGAAAACAGTTAAATTTGTACTGGGGATTACTTGGAATCTGTCAGTTTGAGGGTCTCTGACTCAAAAGTAAAAACAAAATTTAAAAGAAGACTGAAAGAAATGAGACTTCAATTAAGTCTGTGCTAGGTAGGACCACTTAGGCTTTCAGACTCAAAAATTAAAATTTTAAAAAGAGAAGGGAGAGATGATGGTTCCGTGTGTGCGTGCATGGTGTGTGTACCATTTGGGGTCCAGTTTATTTGCTTGAGAGAAGGGAGGAGAGGGTTACCGCTGGTACCTAGCCTCGAGGTTACCCAGGAGGGCAGGCGCCCAAGAGAGAAACCTGGGTGAGTTTACATTCGAGGGCGACAGGAGAGTGCCCGAGGGCCAGGCTGCGACTTTCCGGGAAACAATGCCCCGAGGGTCCCAAGCACAGACCAGGAGAAGAGCCCACCCATCCCCCCACCCCAGCATCTCGCCCCCATCCTCACACGGGCCGGCCCCAGACAGGCGCCCTCTCCAGCAGGTGCCCCGGAGCCCCGGGCCGCGGCGCGCGCCTCACCCAGCAGCGCCCGCAGGTGCTTCAGGCGGGTCAGCACGTCCTTCTTCGGGTCCAGCACCTTCTGGATGGACTTCTTCACATCCCCGTGGCTCCTTCGGGAGAACATCCCGTAGCGGGAAGTCTGGGCCCGCCGGAGGGGTAGGAGGCGCCTGCGTCGCGCGAGTCACTGCATAGGGTCGGGGCCGGCGTGTGTAGCACGGGCCACTCGCCGTCCCCTTCCCTGCCGCCGCCGCCTCGGCTGTGGCTCCAGGAAGGAGGGGCGGGCTGGTCACAGCGAGGGGCGGGGCAGGAAGGCGGTGTCGACGAGGAACCGACCGCTCCGCCCCAAGGGAGGCGCCAGCCAGCCCGTCGGTAGCAACGCGCGCGCGCGAACCCCTTGGACTCGCTCCGCGGGACACTAGTCGGTCTTCGCCAAACCATCACCCAGATGCCTCCAGAGCGCCCAGCCGGCGCCGCGAATCACAAAGCCCCGTGCCTCGTGCACGCGCTGTACTACAAGTCCCGGGATGCATCGCGGAAGAGCCCTCCAATCAGGCTGGCGGGCCTGCAGCACGCTCGGAGTCAGCAGGCCAGCTTCGAGCACGTCGCCCCGCCCCGCCGTGGCCCGCAAGTGCTCCTGGGAAATGGAGTTCTCCAGGTGGCGAGGTGCTGGGACCTCCTTTCCCGGGTCCCAGAGGAGCCGAGCAGCGTCCACCTGCCCCCTGCGCCGGGAGGCGAGAATTCATCGCTTTCACTACGCACCTTGCGCGCCTACCCTACTTCTCTCAAGTGCAAGAGGGTGGTTCCCTCTTGAACCACCAGGAAAAGTTTCAGGGCTTTTAAAATGCAAACTATTTTTAGATTTAACTTCTGGATTCACACCAGAAAGCGAATCGAACCCCGCCCCCCGACTGTGCGAAAATCGGAGCTCCAATTTCATACTAAAATGAATGCCTTTGGCACTTGGGAAGGGCATGCCTACTTCCACTCGCCTTGGTACCTGGGACGCATCACTTGCGGTATGGGGGTCTCTCGCTCAGTGGGCTCCTCAGGGTCTTGGCTCTTGCTCTGTGGGAAGTGCACGTTCTCCGTGTTTTGCAAGGGCTCAAGGCAATCCAGTAACAGAACCAGAAATAAAACCCAAGGAATCAGATTTAGGCCAGTATGCTTTTTAAGCCAAGAGTCTTAGTCCCCAGGGCTCTACTTTGAGAGGAAAGTGGTCACAAGATTACTTACAAGAGAACTGTAGGATTATTTAGCGGCATCTGGACCCTCCAAGTGTTGACAAAATGTTAGCCTTTTCGGCAGATACTTAAAGTACTTGTTGAGAATCACATAGTTTCCATCCAAAATGAGACAACTGTCCTTTTCTTGCTGTACTATAACTAGGAGAAGAGCCAGGGATTTACACACCTTTGAAACCCCCTCACTGAGCACAGTATTTGGCCTCTAGAGGCACTCAATAAAAGTTCGTTAAATAAAATAGAATAAAAAGTTAAAATAATTCTGCATATTTCAACCAGGCATGCAAAATATATATATATATATACATACATATATGTATATATCGTAGCTATTAGAGCTTCTCTCTATTTTTAGACAAAATAGCATTAGTAGAACTGGAAATATTCATAGAAAGAAATATACTCAACCATAGAAAGGAACATTCCTGATAAACCCAACAACATGGGTGAATTTCAGACCCAGAGTTGGAAACCCGATGCTCAAGATGATGGCAGAGCTGCTCTACCAGCATGAGCCCCCAGATACAGATCAGTGCCACAAACCCTCCAAAAACTGTTAGACCGAGCAGGGTGGCTCACGCCTGTAATCCTAGCACCTTGGAAGACCGAGGCAGGCAGATTGCTTGAGTTCACCAAGTTGGAGACCAGCCTAAGCAAGAGTGAGACTCCATCTCTAAAAACAGCAGGACCTTGGGGTGGCACCTGTTATCCCCGCTACTTGGGAGGCTGTGGCAAGTGCATGGCTTGAGCCCAAGAGTTTGAGGTTGCTATGGTCTATGACTCCAAGGCACTCTACTGAGGGCTACAAAGTGAGACAGTCTCAAAAAAAAAAAAAAAAAAAAACCCTCCAAAACTGTTAATGTTCTCTCTGAAGTCAAAGTGTTGTGGAAGTCTGTTATAGCAACTGAGCCTATTCTGGAACACAAAAAGTAAATCACAATGCTCCTGGCCCCATTTCTTTGAGGAAGATGCTTTTTTTTTGAGACAAAGTCTTGCTTTGTCATTCTCAGTAGAGTGCAGTGGCTTCATAGCTCACAGCAACCTCAAACTCCTGGGGTCAAGTGATCCTCTTGCCTCAGCCTCCCAAGTAGCTGGGGCTACAGGTGCCCACCACAACACCCAGCTATTTTTAGAGACAAGGTTTTGCTCTGGCTCAGGCTGGTCTTGAACCTGTGAACTCAGGCGATCTACCCGCCTTGGCCTCCCAAGTGCTGGGATTACAGGCGTTAGCCACCATGCCCAGCCAAAGATGCCTTTTTTTACACTGAATGCAGTTGTCTGGGGGAATTCAATTTTTCTATTAAGAAATTTCATCATCATCAAACATTTACTGAGCACCTGCAGGGTGCAAGGCATGATTCTAAACCTTGGGGATAAAAGATGTATTAGATGCACCCTCCTGACCTCCAAAGCTATCGATCTAGTTTGGGAGGCTGAGCAACCAGACAAATGCGGGGATAAACAACAGTGTACAGTGAACATGTGATACTGTAAAACTTGGTAATACCCCAAACAGGCATCCATACACATAGATTCATCTCCCTCACATCCAGTCTTTACATACTGATGAACATAGAAATCCAAATCTTCTCATAAAAAGGAAAAGACATGGAATATTATTATCCTGATGCTTTCCCACCCACACATATATTCCATATGGCTCATCTCATTTTTCAGTTTTTCTCTCTAAAATTATTCCTGCTGTACTGTGAACTTCTTGAGGACATCACCGGCTTTGTTCTTTATCTCTGGAGATTTAGAGTACCAAGTATCTTGCAGACACTTAGTGCCACTGAATAAATGTCCCTCTTTAATCGATAAATAATGATAATGAAATTAAAAGTTTGCTACTTGCAACACAAAGTAAAACTACCGTGAAATACAATTTGAATTAGGAAAAACACCCACACAAACAAGGTTTTGCAACACACGTTGGCAAAACTACAGGAAAGCATAGCTGGTAGAAATGTAAAATAGTGCAAGTCTCGTGGAGGGAAATTCAGTAAGATTCAATTTTATTTGCCCTTTGCCCAGAAATTCTCAGAATCTGCCCTGAAGATATATCTCTGCCAGTATAAAACCACATGTGGAAGGTTATTCCTTCCAGCAGTATCTGTAATTACTGACATAGTGGGTTGAACTGTGCCCCTCCCCCTTAAAAAGATATGTTTATTTTCTAATCCCCAGAAACGGTGGTTGGGACTTTATTGGGGGAAAAGGTCTTTGCAGATGTGATTAAATGAAGGAGTTTCAGATAAGATCATCCTAGTTTGTCTGGGTGGACCCTAAATCCAGTAGCAAGTGTCCTCATGATCAACAGAATGGGTGAAAACACAGGAACAAAGGACAAGGTCACGGGAGACAGAGCCTCCCCTGGAGCATTCCAGAGGGAGCCTGACCCTGCCAATGCCTTGATTTCAGACTTTAAGATTCCAGAACTGTGAGAAAAAGTAAACTTCTGTTGTTTTAAGCTTCTCAGTTTGTGGTAATTTGTGGCTGCCACACTAGAAAACAAGTAGTGCTGGAGCCTGGAGAGAACACTGGGAGTGTCTAACAGTGTGTGCCGGCCATGGTGCACATGCCCGGGAGTGTCTAACGGCATGTGATGGCCATGGTGCACCTGCCCGGGAGTGTCTAGCAGTGTGACGGCCATGGTGCACGTGCCTGGGAGTGTCTAATGGCGTGTGACGGCCATGGTGCACATGTAGACACACTTCTGAAAGGGACTGAATGAGTCCTCACGATGTAGTACCATGGAGTAGTACATAAAGCAGTAAAAAAATTTTTTTGAAAGATTGTTTTCAAAAGGAACACTGAAAAAATAAATCAAAAATTAACATTAATGCCTACCTAAACCGAGTGGAAGATGGGGTGAAATGAGATTAAACAGGGTCCTCTCCAAGTATGCCTTTTTATATTGTTTTCTCGTTTAAACCGTTTATATTTTACATATTCAAAAATTAAAATAGAATCAATCAAAATAAACAGAAACAAATGGCCCAACCATATGTGTAATTGGTAACATAGCTATAGAGAGAAAATAATTACTTCAAGTGACTTTTGAAAATGGTATCTCATTATGCCTCCTTATTGTAAGGGCAAAAAGATCTGCAAAGAAACATTAATTATTATTAGGAACCAACATTTTTGTTGTATGATAAAAGAGATCTAAAAACACCAAATCAAAAAAAAAAAAATCAAGTAAAACTCTGTAATGTTAAAGTTTACTCCAAATGTCAATTTGGATCATAATTTAAAACTACACACATGGGTGAAAATTCATCCTTTTTCATATAGATATGTAGTTGTCTGGCAATATTTATACAAAGACTTTTCCATCCTGCATTGAATTAACTTGAGGCCTTGGTCAACTGTCAGTCAATCCCACCTTCATGGCTACTTTCTGAACTCCCTGTTCTGCTTCTTCGATCCCGTTTTGTAACCTTGAGTCATCACCCTCCATCTTAACTACTGAAATTTATTGTAAGTCTTGATTTCAAGTAATGTATATTCTCCTTGTGCGAGAATCTTTTGGCAATCTAGGTCCTTTCCAGATCCATAGAAATTTTAGAATCAAATTGTATGTTTCTTTTTTTAGACAATCCTGTTGTGTATCCTTGTTCTTCCGATTTCTGAAGGTGACTAGAAGCAATGATCCTCACAGAAATAATGAGATCTTGGTTTCCAGATATCATTCTGTCCATTCAAAGTCATCAAGGTTATTTAGGAAAATGTCTAATTCCACTTTGAGGCAAAGAAAATATAGAGCAAACATAAGACTATGCCCAAAGATCAGTGAAAAACACTCAAAATGCAGGAGCCTGTGACCAATCTGGGATAATTTGATTATAAAACAGAATAACTATGATTTGATTGCAACATTTTGAATAAATAAAAATTCAGAAATCCATAGCGATATTCAAAAGAAATTTATTTCAATGTACTAGGTAGACATTTCAAGCAGAGAACATTTTTTTGTACCTTTAACACTTTCAAGCTGAAAGGATGTGACTAA